TAATCTTTTATTGCTATTATCATAAAGTTTTGTTTCAGGAGACGAAGATTTATGATGCTATTACTAATAATTATGAGTAAATTTAAGCATTGATATAGTCTTAATTTATAATCTTTTCCTAATTACTTAATTTTAGAATGTGTAATAAAATGTTTAAAAACTTTATCGAAGTTTAAAAGTATCGAACTTTGTTTGTCTTTCATCTCCTTTTATTATAGGTAACTCTATAGGCAATGCATGTTTAGAAGTCGCCTAATAAACTGGTAGATTTTTTCATTTATTTTTTTTATTATTATTTTTTTAATAATACTACGATGCGTTTTGATGAAATTCAAATTTGACATGGTGTAGTTGTTACCATCTGCAACCCTAAATTAACATATTCAAACACCGGAAAGTCAGAAAAGGATAAAAATTCCTTAGTGTGGCAGAAAAAGGTGTTGTTCAATTCACTCCGGCTCGACTAATAATATACTTTTTGTGTCAACGACCGCCATGCCATCTGGTGTCGAGAAAAAGCTCTCCGAGGAAGTTACCAATTTACTCCGTACACCTTCACTGCAGACAGGTGGTGCACAATTGAAAAAGGAAAAAAAAAAAAATTAAAAAAATACTAGATGCAACAATGACGTCGAACGACAATAGTGAACCAACGGATAATTATCTAAACACTGTTCTAATCTCTATTCTGACCATTCAATTTCTTGCGTTACACTTACTGGATGACTGTAGATCCTTCTTTATACAAGCTTTCGGTCAGTTGGTCTCAGCTTGAATTGAAAACCGCTTTGGGGTAGAACGCTCTCATTGTGATGTCACCTCACCCCATCCCAGCAGTTTCCTCTGGGCAACAATAGCGGTGAAAAACGTTTGATCTATTCTGATGTAGTCAATCGTATCCACTAGTCCAGACTCTCTCTTGTTATATATCTGGAAAAAGTCGAAGTAAAGCGAGCAAAAGAAATCAATAAAGGAAACGGCTTCGATGCGTCTTCTCTTGTTGACGGCTTGAAACGTGTTAGTTTGCAAGAGACATTAATCGTTTTGCTAAACTGTAACAGTGATTCTTACAGATTTTTCTCGTCGTAACGAAGATCGTTTCATTATGTGACTAACGTCTGTCGTGACGTCTGCACTTTCTCCATCCGTTAATAACGTGGTAATGAAAGGTTAAGCTTCAGATTAATGGCTAATCGGGTTAAGTTTATTTATTTTTTAATCTAAGCTTGTGTTCAAAGCCTCTACTAAGACACTATATTTATGTAAAGCTTATATAAATTTATATACGTTTATGCTCAAAGTCTATAGGCTCCATATTTATACTTCTTTAGCCAATTTTTATATTGTCATTTAGAAACTGAATTACAATCACTATATGTTTTAGTGGTGAATAAATTTTAAGTATAGATAGTCTTAATATTGATTAATTATTATTTAAATGATAATGATGGTTTTATGATGATAAAACTTTTATATAGGATAGACGTTTAGGGCATTTTTAAAACCAACAAAACTATAGCAAATTATAAAGATATTGTTCCATAAAATAACAGTGTTGTTTGTATGGTTTGGAGTTTCTAGTAGAGCTACAAATTAAGAAACGAAGTTAAATCTATGGCATTCATGCTACTTCCTAAATTTGCTTGAGGCATGACATAAAATGTTGGGCCTCAATAAAACTCAATGTCCCGCATCGTCGACCCTTTTTTAACAAGATACTATATAAGATAATTCTTATTCTTAACGATTTAAATCCCACTTACATTTATATAAATGCATAAAATAGAAAGTTTTCAGATAAATTTGAAATAAAAAACATTATTTTTAAGTTCCTCGAATAAAATGTAATCATGAAGTTTATTTATTTTCTCTTCTATTGATCTTCGGATATGATGATGCTTAGAATACTCAGAAAATTGTTATTCCTGAAACAAGCGGAAATTGTTGAACAAATTAAAGCCAATGTATTCGAAAATTGCAAAAATATGCAAAATTTAGGACATTGATTAATGATTAAAGCGTAGAAAACATCTTTTGTATTTAATTTTCAGTAAAAATATTCATCCCAATTTTTAATAACGCTTACAACTGAATATTTAATGAAGTTTCTGTATTTAATACTTATGCCTATATTCAAAAATAGAATATTTAAGCATAGAGGTTCTTACATTGGATATTAATGCCGATAAAAAATTTAAAAAATAAATAAATTTCGGCGTTAATTTATATTCCCGTTCATCTTTATCGTATATTGTCATTAGCACTCTTCAATTGCAGCCTATCCACACAAAAACTTTATTCATATTCCGTCGAAGCCTCTCTCGAAACAGCAGATAAATTCATTTGTTTGAAAAAATAAATAAATAAAATTAGACTTTTCTTTTATAAACCAAATGTTTTTTGAGCAAAATGCAAGTAATTTAAAGTAAATTTTAAACAATTTTTTTTAATAATTCGAATTTTTCTTTAAAATCCAGATATTAAAACAAATTAAGAATAGAAATCTTAACTTGTTCGTTTATGTTAATAGATATTATGTCGTTTCTTTCAACGATTATTATTATTATTATTATTATTATTATGAAAAAAATATCAGTTGCAGTTCTGAATAAAAACTGGATATTTTATTCTCTTGGGTATCGTTAGCTAAAGTACAGAAAAGGGCTTCTTCCTCAAGAATAATCGATCTGCGTTGTCTTGGGACCTATAGACTACCATGCATCACCGTCTTAGTATTTCAGATATTTTCAGCTATCTGCTGGCTGTCGGAGTTTAAAAATTTGGTAAGAAATAAATGAATAAAACATCAAAAGAAAATTTTCTAGGATAAAAATTATTATGTACCGATCAAATTTAAATTAGTTCGATAAAGTTTTACCAATTAATCTATAATAATGATTAATAAGTTTAACCTTGAGTAAAGATACGCGTTTTATTTATTTTTTTTAAATTATTAATTCAGGTAGAAATTTATTATAAAAAAAAATCTCTGCTCCTAAAAGTGCAACATTCCTTTCGGTAAAAAGTTTCAACGATAGGCTATTAAAATAAAGTGCTCTTTTTTTAACCTGTTTCTATTATTACAAAAATAATGACGGACACTGCTCTATCGATTTAAAAACAAACGTCTTTTCTCCAGAATGCTTGCTACTACGCTTTTTTTTTCCTCCTGGAACTTACGTTTAAAAATTATTTCAACAACTCTCGAAGGACTAGAAAAGAAACTTGAAAGAATAATAATGCAGTAATTATATTAATTTCCATTATGTTATTAACGAGATAAATTTATCATTTTTTAAATACTTTTTTGGAAGTTTAATCATGTTTATTGTTGTTTCTAATGGATGGCAATAAGAAACGTTAAAATCCGTAGGTCTACATAATTTGAGATAAGTATACTTATCGAGATAAGTGTTGTTCTTTATCCGGTTTCGGAGTAAAATATTTCTACTTTGTAATTATATACTTAAGTTTATATGTGTAATTATACGCAAATTTAAGCTAAAATAAAATGTTAGAAGACTTTTTTAGGTTTAAAGAAACAATTCACGGTTAATAATTTTAGTGGTTAGGTCATTGTTGTAAGCTATTAACTCTTAATATATCAAATATCAAATTATGCATGACAAGAGGAGGTCTAGAAAAAGTCAACCATGACGCAATTTATAATATCCGATTTGTTATTCTTTTAATTAATTCTGATAAATTTCATGCTTTAAGAAAACATTTTACAATTCGATTTGGTAAATTTATATGAACTATATTACTTCACTGCATCGTACTATTCTATAATTAACACGAGTTCATTTTTTTGTAGATGTTTATCGCTTCGAGTTATCTTCCGCGCATTTATCTTTCTCGTCATTTATATACATCTTTTGACAATTCTAACATTAATTTTAAGTTTCATAACGGATTCACTCAGCGATTGGGTTCCCATCAGGTTGAATTTTCTAAGAATGTCATATCAGACAGACAGTTAAGAAGGGTATGATGTTTATAATGTTTGTTCAGTCTCGCGACATTTACTATGACAAATCGAAGAGCTATTGCTAAAAATAACAAATCGGGTCTTGTTTGCTGGCAAAACTGCTGTTTAGTTACCAAATGTAGCCCTTCTACTATACTTTTTAATTAAATTTGAGTCTGCGGTTTCAAAATTATTACTTTACTTTAGATAAATACTAATTACATTGTTTAACAGATGCGTTAAATTGAAATCGTTTAGTGTACAAAAATTAGTTAATATGTTATTTATTTTTATGATAAAATGAAAAAATTAAGTAAAAAATTTAATTTTACGAATAGATTTAATCTTTAACACTTTTTCCCCCCTAGTTTTTCTAATGGAAATTTACTAATTAATGAGTAAAAAAAAACACTGTTGATGCATTATCTGTTTCAAGATGAAATGGAAAAAATAAAAAAAAGTAATTTTTATAATTTCGTATAAAGCATATTTTTTCCTCTTGTTTTTATTTCTGCATTGATATTGTGTTTATAATTGACGATGTTGTGAATTATTGTTTTACGTTTAAGATAAGGATAAGGTGATGAAAAGAGAAGTTTGGTTTTTATACAACCCATATATGTAAGAGGAAAGAAGACGTAAAAATCGAGAATAAAGTTATCGTTCTGATATAAAATCGATCTTAGAGAAGAGATTAAATATCGATGCCAATGATTAAAGTATTGTAATGCATTAGGGATTAGGGCATTGGCACCGATCTGTCGAATCGGATCAGGCATCACTCAGATTGAAACAAATCAGTTTGTAAGTGCTAGAATTCTGTCTGTTTGAACCAAATGATAAGCGATTCTCGTTCTTCTTCTTAAACTTGCTTTTCCAATTTAGGAGTGGGAGCTTCTTGGATCAGAAAGGCGTTTCTCGGTTTGTGTAACACACGCGTTTGGAGAAGAGATTAGCTTTAGCGAAATTAGCGCCCCATAGTGGGAAATAAGATAATTGGAGACCGGATGTCCAGTGGCGCCACCGCAGGTGATAGGTCAGGTGAATGTGGTCCTTTCATCCCCCATGGGCGCCTAACTATTAGCGTCCTCACACTATCGATCTGCTCTTGCGCCGTCATCTTTCTACCCCTGCCGAAGTGGTACATCCCTGGCGTTTTACCAGCGTTGGGCCGTCCTCCCCGTACAGTGGTTGCCTAGCCAGGGGCGATTGTATTGTTTGTCTGCTGTACACTTGTACTATCGTAGCCGACTGAAGTCCAGTATCGAGCTACCGCAAGGGTACTTCATTAACCGTGGTATAGAGACTATCGGCCATTCAACGATTACATTCCTATCTCAGGTAAGACATTTTCGAATATCTTGCGAGGCCAATTTCCGATTTCCGTTTCCGATCGGTTTAGCTTGGGTGTGAGACAATGAGCAGTCTTTATAAAACTCACAACTAGAGAAGATCGTGGATATCAGTCGACAACTCGCTCCGCTTCGTGCACGGTAACTCTACTACTGGACGCTTACGTAAACACGATGACGCTTTAAGTCTTGCTTTGGCCTTTATTCTCTCCGCTAAAAATTTGTAACAATAAACATTCATTCTTAACTAGGAAAGACAAGGCTTTCAACTAGTCTCTCATCTCTAAATCCACTCGGAAATTCCGCTTTGTATGTTAGTTCGATAGCTGAAACTCACTTGACTTCTTTAACTTACAAACCATAAGCTTATCTTATGTAACAGCCGCTACACTCACCGTACACTCTACTAATTCCTGTGCAGCTCTAGATGTCGAGAGCATAACCAGAAAACGTTTCCGAAATAATTACACAAATAAACACGGTTACAAGTATGTAACAGTTACAAAATAACCCAGTCGTTAAAATATATCAATAGTTAAAAACTTTAATTAAAATTTTATTGAAAAGTAACGTTGCTTTCTCAATTTTTAAATCCGTCGATTGTCATTTTGTTTCTGAAATATTGTTTTGAATTTCGGCGTGCTCCGTTGGATAGTTTAATGATCCTTTGAATCTTTCTCCATAGATCCATTCTCTTGAGTTTCATTTTCTTTCACACGTTCTTTAGATGTTCCCGAATACTCTTGAAAATGTTTTTTTCTCTCCAGTGAAATATCAATGTCACAGAATCGATGACTTTTCGCTTAGTTTAATTTTTGAAATTCTACAACGAATGGACGTTTTATGTAGAAAGTATATTAATTTCTTGTCAAGTTTTCATATGCATTTTGAGAAGAACACTTTCTCGTTAACAGCTTAAATTAACCACAACACTCCTCAAAAAGGTTGAAATTTTGATTAATTTCTTTCTATAATTGAATTCTTATCTGTTTATTTTAATATTTTATTAAGCACCAAATAAATTATTAATAAAGATATAGATAGAGCTTTTCATTCTAGATATTAAACAGTAACAAGTTAAAGATTTTACTTTTTTAATAAAAAATGTAGCAGTCTTATTTTTACACGCTTGCGGTTAAAATTTTTAATTGTGGGCATTGAAATGTATATTTTTGAAATAAAATTTTTAAATAAAGAATGTAAACATTTTAAATTTAATTACACTTGTATTTAACTCATAAGCCTACACTACTGTTTAGAACTTAGGATATATCGTAACATCTATTAAATTAAATTTTTCATAATTATTGCATACATTAGAAGCATTTAACAATTCATTGATATTGTTTCTTTTAAGAAACTATTCGAATTTTAAACAAATTGAATACTGAGAAAGAATGTCAATTGAAAACTTACGTAAACATCTAACTATATTTTTGTGTGTCACATTTTTTGACACAACAATAAAGAAACAGGGAGGACGTGTATAACAAGAGCATTGTTCGTGTTGGCATAATAACTTTTTAAATCTGCACAAATTTTGGGTGAACCCCGCCAGATGTTTCTGTGTAGGAACATTTTTATAATTGATTTTCGACAATCAATAAATTTAATAAAAGAAGCAGATGGCTATTTTTTTTAAATTCATTTATAAATTTACACTTTTAGGTCGTTTCTTAATTGTTTACACCACACACACGCAAAAAAATGTTTTTAAATTCTTTGTTCATAGATTTTTAACAGTGATATTATATCGATGCTGTTTGATGTTTATAATTGTATATACTATTTATAAATAATGGCGATAATCATCATAATATTTACTTTATCAATCTTAATTTTATAATAATAATTTATTACTTTCGGTTATTTTTAATATTGTTTGTGTATAAGCCAAGAAGTGACCTAATTTTATATACTCGAATGTATTTTTGGTGAGTTCATCTTATATATCCTATGAAAGATTTGATATAACGCTGTAAATAACTCACCGGATATGTTGTTAAATATTAAATATTTCTAAGAGAATTGACTGCATCACATGTTTGAAGTGTATTCACAACCATTCTTTACATCTCAAATTTGCTAGCTGGAACCATTTTAGAAACCTCCCAACACGAATAGCATCGCCCGTCTCCTCTTAGGCAAAAGTTATGTAACTACAATTTTCTTACGAAAAATACATTGTAAGCTTATATTTGTTATACGGTGGCATTTCTATTCTTCTCTCCGGTGTATATAAATATTTCTATTGCCTGGCTTCAGTATCAAACAAATTCTCATCTTTTTATTTATTCACATTTTTATTTCGTAGACCAAAACTGGCATTGGAGGACAAAAATTGAATTCTGTGAACTCAAAAGGGGGAATATAATCCTATATTTCTTCCGTGTCACTGACATTACTTCCTTCCACATCCTCCTTTTTCATCCCTCCCTGCCCTTTCTTTTAAGCTGGGTGAGCGAAATTCCCGTCTAAAACATTAAGTGACCTTTCTCGACATATTCGTTCTTACAATGTCCAGATGTGTACGATTTATTACGACCATTTTCGAAATTTCTAACTAACAGGTGCACGTCGTTGCACCTGCAGAATTTTGGAAATTAAAGAAATTTTCGAAATCATAAATAGAACAAATAAATTATAACATTTATTATCGACATATTTATCTAAATTCCTGAATATTTATCTATTTTCTATGCAAGACCAGAGTTGAAACATTGGAATATTGATAGACAAACATGACTAATGCGAAACCCGATACTTTTTGGTTGAATTGACATTCAGAAAGTGCAATTACCAAACTTCTCCTCCCTGTGCTGTTTAAAAACAATCACCGGAAAATCGTTAGATCGATTGGAGGTCCCAGGTGCCAAATTGGTACTAGGAATGAAGAGGAAATTCTAATATGGCTACCAAAAGTTCATTGAGCCGTGGTTAACGGGAAGTACGTCTATCTGACGTAACAGCCACCGCTGTCTAGTAAAATGATGGATTAAAGGCAAGGGAAAATATAGCTTAGACTCTAAGTGCTATAGTTCTTCTCCCCTCACTCTTCTTACAGCAGCGCCATTCACGTATATGCTATAAGTGCTGTAAGGATATTTATAATAATAGTGAAAGCCGATTGTTCAATCATGTCAATCGGTTAAGCGATTAAATTTTTTATTAATATCTTTTTATAGATGATATAAACACATCCCTCGACTTGAATAATAAAATACTTTTTTACACTTACTATATCAAATGTATTATAACTTATAACTTATAGAATAATTTTATGAATATTCAGTTGTAAAATATGCAAAATATTACAGCAGTTATTCATACAATAAATGAATATATATGTAGTCTATATACAATAGGCGGAGAACCAAAGCTGAAATGTTTATCGTTCAATATTATGCAAAACATGAGAATTTCTATGACATCTGGAAAATTTCATTTTCAAGGAGTCAATCATCACTTCAAACCATCTACAATTGTGCCATTTTTATGCAGATGACCTAAGATATTGCTACTGTAAGATTACTTGGTGAATCTTGCTAAAGTGAAGTATTTGAATGCTGCTTACCATCTCTTCAAAATAAGTTAGAACTCCTTCAGAATACGGAAATGCTGCATGAATATAGTGGTGATTGTATTCACTTTTTCCTTTCTTTACTAAACTCGCTGATTTGAATAGAGTTGATCCATGTCTGATGTTCTTGTATTATCTCATAAAATTATAAGAAAATAACTTTTAAAGTGAAATTTCTTGTTGCCGAGTACCTTATCAAACTTTAAAAATAAATAAATATATATATTTTTTTTATCAGTATTTGGTTGCAGATATGTTATTTTCTTTCTTTTATCCGATAAGTTTTGAGAATTATTAAGCTGAAGCTTTAAAAATAAAATTTTAAATTCGACATTTGTCATTTTCCTGCGCAAATATTATTACAGAAAGACTAAAAATAATTAAATTAATTAATTCGTTTAAAGGCCATTAAAATTATTCACAAATAAATTTAAATAGATGGCATTTTTAAAATTACTGTGAGAGAATTTTAATTCATTTTTATAAGAATAACTGAAGCAATATTTAAATTTGTTTCGTAAATAATTTATATCGGTATAAACTATTAGAAATAATACATGTCTATTGAAAAATATTCAACAGATATTCTGTGCATTTTTTCAGAAATTGTTCTTAAAATTTATTTTTAAAATCTTTAAACTAAAGCTTTCATTTTCGAAATAAAAAATTATTTTAACATATTTTTAAAATTTGAATTATAAATTATTTAAAAAGTCGAATAAAAAATGGCAGTTATATTATAGATAAGATGATATCATTTAAAGATCTCTTCTGGTCTATAAAACTTTAAAAGGTATTATAAATAACTATATTCTGATTTTCTATGAAATGCTTTAGAATATATTTTCGTGGTTATTGTATGGCTTGCATGAACTTCTATTATAATACAAGGAAGAGCATACATGCTGATCAGCTTGGATGATGGAATCTAGAGAAATGCAGAAGGACCTTCGGGACTTTATAGGTATAGTGCTTTTAAATGGAGAATGTATACTCTAATAGAATGTGTCTGCAGTTGGAAACATAGTTAATGGAGGAATATAACAAAGACTAGCTCCAAACTCCTACTTTTCAGAATCATTGATTACAACTCGAAATAGGCTTTATATTGAGTGCAATTTACGTTACTGTTTTAAATATGAAATAAATCAAAAGTATTTAAAACTAATTTGTAATGGTTATTTATTTACATTCAATGTTAAAATGTTTATCTCGTTAACAAGATAGACTTATATAATTTTCCGTATCAGTGTAGTGGTTTATACATTTCACGTTTTAAAATAATTTAATGCAAAGAAATAAAGTGATTTATATTTACCTTATAACTCAATTCCAATCGATTTGCTTTATTTTACTTTACAAACGTTTGTAAAATTCGTACGAAAAGATTGCAAACTTTATGAATTATA